ACAAAGTCAAAGACTACAACACTCTCTTTACTCCCCCAGAAACTTAGCCTAAAAAAACTTAAAACAATATCTCCCCCACAAATCAAGCACCCGCATCATCTTGTGGAACTTCTTCCCACATGTTTTCTCCCCTGCTTGTGATAACCGAAGTTAAAAACAATGGTCAAAAATCCAAAATAAGTTACAAGTCAGAGTCAGAAAACTTACTTGCAAACGAGTCAATCACCATGTTGACCACACCGTGTAGATGACCGAGCACAGGACTCACATCACGAAGTGCCAAGGTCACTTCATTTTCACTAGCCGGTGCCAAGGGAACTCGAATTACCCCGAGAGGTGCACTTTGAGTCCTACCAGGAACAGAGTCGGATAGCCTGAACGATGCATCAGGAGGTGGAGCACGGAACGACCGAAGTGGCACACTAGGTGATGTTGTTAGTTGGTGCAGAGAAGCCTGCGGTGGAGAGGACGGAGATCGTGGTGCCTCAGCCTTCTGCTTGCCCTTATTTTTTTCCTTCTTCGCCTCGGCAGCCTCCCTCTTGATGAACTCTTCTCCACTTCGAGAGTCCTTCTTGTACCGGGATGGTACAATGTGAGTCTCTCCTCTCCCCAAATGAGGCTCAACTTGCACATTCAGAATCTTATGAATCAAACGGTGTCCTTTTTGATGATCTTACTCATCAGAAGAATCTTCTTGAAGGCCAGCTTTCCGAAATCCACCCGCACACCATGACTCAGTTTATACACTAGTCTGGCACGTTCCTTAGAGATATGGTTCTTGTTGGTGGAGGGAATCCAGTTGTACATGGAGATGATGATCAAGGCAGCGAACATAGGAGGCAGATCCCTCGTGGTCAAACCACTCCAACTGCTTCTACCCTTTGACAAGTGCTTGGCCACATCAGACAAGTAAACTGCATCAGCCACTCCCTCTTCTTGTTCCTCTGCCTTAATCAATGGCTCAAGATTGAGCACTTGGTTGATCAACATCGGGGAGAACCTGTATCGAATCCCCTGAGAGTGTCTCAAATCTCCTGATCTGGTGCTGAAGGTAGACCACCCGGAAGCCGAGCATAGATCTCCTAAACCACCTGTAGGACATATCGAGCGATTCCAACAACCGTCGGCTCCAGACCACCATCCTTGATCATCTTGATGTACCCCCATTGGTCTGTCTCACCTACATCAACACTTCACTGACATCAAAGATGTCGAGTAGCAAAGTATTCATACCTTGCTTGACTGGGAGATGGCTGTTCTTTGTGAGACCGAGCCTTCTTGGTCTGTTTCCCTGGAGCCGACTCAGGGACCGGTTCAGGTGCTGCTTTCGGCGCCGGAGACGGTTCAGTTCTGGGTTTCTTCGACGGAGCAGGGAGTCCTAACTCCTTTGATGTGAGTGCAGTGGGCAACACAAGTTTTACCCTAGACAAGCTGCAAGTGCACAGCAAAAGTAGTAGTACTTAAGGATCGAATCCACAGAGATCTGTGTGTTGAGGACTTCTAACTGATGCTAAAAACAATCGTAAACCTAATATAATAAAAAAGGGTTTTGGTTTGTCACTAAATCTAATTATGCAGAGAATTAAAAAGAGCTTTAAGTAAATATCACTTGAAAAACAATAAGTAAAAAGCGCTGGGTTCAAGGTTCATCTTTAGGGTTCATGTTCTAAGACACAAGGAATTTAGGCAAGGATTTTCTATGACTCTGAAACTAGGATAGACACATGTAAGATTAGCCAACTCTCGTCACCCGAATCATATAATCACTTTTTCATGGCAATTAACTCTCGCTCTCATGCCAGAACAAGATCATGCTTTGTAGATCGGAATCCATCTCTGCTTACGTATCCTCTGTAGGTAGCTTTCTTCTCCTACGACGGAACGTCCATAAGATCCGGTTCAGGCAACCCAGATACAACACTCTCGTGGCTCGGATTAAACCTAGGATCGGATTCTGGGTGATCAATCCAGAATTACCGCTTTGAGAATTGGATGAATGGGAGAATCATGTTAAAAATCAAAATTCTTTTTCCTAAAAACCTAGATGTCATTCGAACATGGGGTCCCTTTGGATTACCCTTTCACCCAACTAAGTGACTACTCAGACATGGCTGAGGTAGACATCATCATCGGTTTTGAACTAAGAAGAAGAAAAGTAAAAGAAGCAAAGTTGCAGAAAGACTTCACTTATTGAAGACAGTATGGTGATGAAAAGTTTCTACCGATGCATAAAAATAAAACCTAAAACTATGAATGAGTTCTCTCTCAAGGAGAAGAAAGAGGCTCCCTTACAAAAGACCTAAAAATGAGTATTTATAGTGTTTCTCCAAGTCTTGGGCGTCTAGGGCTTGTAAAATGAGTGCAGGAAGTGTCTTGGGTCTTAGTTGGGCTCCTGAGGTTCGGACATAGGTCCACCGGAGGTGAAACCTCCTGAGCCGCGGTGGAAAGAAGGCTGGCCGCGGGTGAAAGCACTTGTGCTTGACAGGGCTTGTGTTGATCGGCCTTCAGTGCATTGATGATATCTTGAGATCTAACCGTTGGATTGCTTTGATTCCAAGTGTGTTGGAAAGATGGTTGTCTCCTCTATAATGTCTCCAAATTTGGGGATTATCAGACGGTCAGAAGGTCTTCTTTGGTTGCCAAACTTCTGATGGCCTGAATTTATCCAAAATTGTAGTTTTGCTCCAAAATGCACTCCAAAATTTCAAGTTTCCTGAAAAGCCTTTCAAAACTCCAAAACATGGAAAACACTTATAAAACCTTTAAAACTGAGTAAAAACACCTGCATAAGATATTGAAAGTGATCCATAAAAGTGGTCAAAATCAGGTGTTATCAACTCCTCCAGACTTAAACCTTTGTTTGTCCTCAAACAAAACCAAAGATTTGAACCTGGAAAAGAGGTTTGAAAATCGCAGTAACTAACAAAATCTCAGAGACTATGCTTCTAAACTAGAGTTAGTCATTATGCTCAAATCAAGGATAGTCTAGAAAATTCTCACCAAAGCAGAAGCATAACTAGTCCGTTGATCCGTTATGCGAAAGTCTACACACTTAAACCTATCCTTCAGTCAACTAGCTCTTAACATTCATTTATAAGTTCCAGTGGTTCTCATCAAAAGAAGTTTAGCAAGGCAATCAAGGCTAGGTATTCAAAATGGCTGTTTTGAAGGTGAGGCTTTTAGTGTTTAGGGTTACATTTTCTGGAGAGACAAGACATTATGCAAAACAACAAGAGAGGGTGGAGCTGTTGATATCCACAGTTTCCAGTCATATTATTCTTGCTTTAAGGTTCTTGATCTCCTTTCTTTTTTCTCCTCATAACTCCCCCAGACTTAGATTTTTGTCTAGGTTTAAAACCAATGCTCACAAATGAATACTTGCAGCCTTTGCTTCAAATAATTTTGGCCATCCTAGACTCTTTAGGCTTTTAGTTTCCTTTCCTTTCATTTTTTTTTCCCTTTTTCGATTATTTTTTTTTTTTGAAAGGGGAAACCGCCTTTTGACATAGAGTCTTAGGGAGCACGAAAATTACCTTTAAGTTCAAGCTTTTTGAGGCACCATTGAAATTTGATAGATTCTTGATGCTCCACTTTTCCAAATATCTTCAGTCCTTTTCTTGAGTGATTGAAAACCATGTTGTTCCTCCCTCTCCGGCGTTTTTGCACATATCTGTCGATATAGACTAAAGAGAGAATGCATGAGGTTTAAACATAAAGGTTTGGGTAAAGTTGTGGTACCAGATAAAGATGAATTGGCCATCGAGGACAACAAAGGGTGGTAATAATGATGTAAAGATGTCCTAGATGTGTATCATGATGTCTGCTAAAACCAATGATGAGAAAATTAGATGTCAATATTATATTCAAGTAAAATGAGCTAGACTATCCTGTCAGGACAAGTCTCCATGAATATAAATTCTCTGGTGGGAGTTAGTAGTGCAAGTACTCTAGCTACCGCCTAGTCTAGTACTATCCACAAAAGATACTAGCATGAAAAGTCTAGAAGCACATGGGTCTTACTCATCATAGTTTTGTGTCAAACATTCCTGAAAAATACTCAAGGTCTTTTAATAAGCATAGAAAATTTTAAAAATTGCAGAAAAAGATAAGAAACAAAGAAAAAAAGATTAGTACGGATAAATATCCACCCCCCAGACTTAAACCACACTGTCCCCAATGTGAAAAAGTTGGTGAGCAGATGGTGAAATAAAAGCAAAGGAGTCTAAAATAAATAAAAGATAATGGTGATAGAACAGTGGGCATGATGTGGTGATGGATAGGCGCCTATGTCTCATGGCTGTCATCTATCTCTGTAGATGAGGAGTCATCAGATCGGCGGCTCTTAAGTAGCCTCTTCATGCGTCTGTTGATCTTCTCTTGCTGCTCAAGCTTCTTTTTCAAAGCTGCAAAGTCTGCATCACTCCTAGTGGATGCTCTGAAATGAGAAGAACTGGCTCTGGATGGTGCAGGCTGTAGTCTCCTGCTGTTTGCAGCTACCTCTCTCTTGGCTTTTGCAGCCAGAAATTGCTTTATGGTCAGAGGTAAGAGTGGCAAAGATGGTAGGAAATTGCTGGTCTCTGGTTTCCATCCTGGGTCTGAACCATCTCAAAGACGGGGCATTGAATCAGATGGTAGTAGTACCCTGTACTCGGTGGAACTGGTGGAGAACTTGTAAGCAAATCCAATTGGGTCCATCTTGGCCCTGGTGATAGTCCTGTCTCTAGAGAACTGAGAAAGATCAAACCAATCCTCTCTAAGAGGTGTCTCAGCTGAAAAATCATCTCCTGCTGCTATCATAAGCAAAGTGATGATGCTCCCAAAAGCTGGTGAGTAGTCCTGACAATCAGATGTAAGCATCTCATGCTTAACTTTCACTAGGTTCCTTGCAATGATGCAAGCAAAGCAAGGAAACCTGGGGTGATCTGCGAATGGTAGCTGTAGTGTCACCAACTCTGGCTTAAGGACATTCGCTTGATTGGCTCGTGAAAACACAGTGTGTGCTAGTAGCTTATGAACATAGCGAACAGCAGGATGAGAGAGTAATGATGCCTTAGACCTTCCATTGTCATAAATTCCATAACCCATCAGCTTCCAAAGATCCTCATCTGGATCCTTCTCCAATGCAATCTCATCACAATAAAGCAACTTCAAAGCATCACATATCTCTAAGATGATGAGAGAGTAAGGATGACCTCCAATAGAGAAGGAGAGTGTGCCATCTAGAGCTCTAGGAGTATCTCTCTTCTTGTAGCTCAAAGTTTCTGATGCAAGGAACTCCTTGGTGTGGTTCTCATAGGTCTGAAAGTTCTGCTCCATGAATGATCTCATTCCAAGCCTATCAAGATACCATATCACATCTTCTCTGATTCCAAGCATCTCAAGAGTGGAGTAGTCAATTTCTGGAGTTGGCTTGATCTTCAGCTTCTCAAGCTGTGCCAAGTAATCGATGTCTGGGTCTATGGCTTTACCAACAAACTTCAATTTCGGCTTAAAGGAAGGCTTGACTCTTCTTGGGAAAGATAGCTGAGTGGAGGTCTGCTCAATTTTCCCTGAAAAGATCCTTCATTGCGCGGGTAGATAGAGGCTCATCTTCACTCAGTTGTGTCTCGTTCAATGCATCATATATTTCCTGCGAATGGGGCTTTTTGCATGAGGGCTCTTCTTGGTTCGAATCAGTTGAACTCGAGAGAGATCCATGACCTGCAAAAACAAGATTCTCGAGACAAAGGATAAATCAAGCTGCTTTGGTATCAATTTTTATGAACAAGGTGTTTGCAAAGACATCACAAACACATTATCATGACAAACAAGCTTGCAAATGCATCAAACATTACAAAATCTGAGAATTTCTGGTCAAGTTCGATATACTGATGTTCAACACATGAGATTTCTAAATCAGGATGATGTTTTATTGCTCACTCACATGTAATCTAATCTAGTTTTCTATCAACAAGAACCAAACAATTCAGATTTGCAAAGCTGAACCAAACAGATCTCCAAATTTTGATTTTCTCAAAGTTCAAATCTCAGATTTTCGAAAATTTCAAATCTCAATGGCCTAAGTGTTTAATCATGCAATTAAACTACCCAGTAGTCTAGCCTTAAGTACAAAGACAGTTTCCAATCATCCTAAGGTGAATTCCTACTCATTCTAAAAAAACCCTAAATCTGAGTTCTTAAGAAAAAAAGTGAAAAATTTGAGCTCATACCTTGATGAAAGTGTTATGTGATGCTAGATTTGAAATCTCCTTTGAAAAAGAGTGAGATATGTTCGCAAATTTGGAAAGGATTTGTCAAGTTTGAAATATGTCTTTTTCTCTAGATCTCCAAGCTTGTTGGGGAAGATGAAGAGAAAAGTCCTTTTGATCCTTTAAATCCTCTTTTTCTTTTAAAAATGTGTTTTTCTATAGAAAAATTTTATTTTTAAAAGTTTAGAAGACTTACCTGGCGTGTTTAACACGAAAATTATGTTTTGGGAACTTCCCGGTTAAATCCTGTGATAAAACGGGGAATTGAAGTTCTGGATTACGGGAAACGGGGAAAACTCGCCTGGTGGCCAAAATTGAGCCGGCCGCGGGCTAGGTGCACGCGCCCACAGTAGGATCGAGCTGGGCCGCGGCTGAAACAGGCGGGCTGCAGTAAAAGACGGGTCGGCCGCGGCTGGAATGATCGCAGCCGCGGTAAATGCTTTCCGGTAGTTTCCGGTTTCTCTCGTTTTCCTGCTTTCTCTTCCTATCTTTTTGTATTTTCTAGTTATTTTTTTAATGTTTTTGGTTTTTCTGGGTTTTATGAAAGCCTGAAATGCATAAAAAGAAAAAGAAATCAAAGAGAAAAGAAATAAAAAGAAAAGAAAATCATACCAAATGGGTTGCCTCCCATTAAGCGCTTTTGTTTAAAGTCTTTTAGGTAGACTCTTGGCAGGATTAGGATTGAGAAGAACATGCAGGACTCCTTGAATTAAGAGTCCTTGTGGTCCTCCTTAGTCTGAACTTTGGATTTCCTTCATCTCGAATCACAATCTCCTTTCCCTTCTTGAGGATCTTTGCATCCTTGAGGACATATTTTTTCTTCTCAACAATTCCTTCAAGATTTTTCTCCTTTTCCTTGCTGATGTCTGGTGGCACCACTATCTTGATGTTCCCAAATTGCCTAGATGCAAGTGCTTTTAGTTCCTTCTTGTCCTCCATCACCTTCTCTTTGTCCTTGTCCCTTTGATTTGGAGCTTGGTCTGGTGTGGTTTTATAGAAATTTTTCCTGTCCACATTTAAGAAAACTAAACAGCGATTTGCATGGTCAATAACAGCACCTACAGTAGCTAAGAATGGGCGACCAGATATCAAAGGTCTCTCTTTGTCCTTGTTCATCTCCAAGACTTGAAAATCGGCTAGGACTATTTTGTTTCCAAAGATTAGTGGCAAATCTTGGATCATTCCTTCTGTTCTCTTTTGAGATGAATCACCAAAGATTATCCTTACTGGAGAGGGGAAAAATGTACCTATACCAAGTTTCTCAGCAACAGATTTTGACATGACATTCACATTAGCACCAGAATCACATAAACAATCTGAAAATTCAATTCCAAAGATTGAACAGGTGAATGAGAAACGCCCTGGATCCTTAGACTTTTTGAGTCTTTGGTCAGGCAAGCGTTTGGGTACCTTAACAGGAATGACTCGGCTTCTCTCATGCTCGGTTTCAAAGTCCTTTATAAGAGGTTCAGGTGTTAATCTCCCCTTAGAGTCTGTGACAGGTTCTTCCTCCAGAACTGCTGTCATGGCATTGCAGAACTTCTTTGGGTTATCTTCTACTCTTCCTGGTAAAACTCCTGGTTGTCTCTTCATTGAATCTGCAGTTTGACCTATCTGATGTTCCAACTTCTTGACATGGGTTGCAAGAGATTCGAACTTCCCATTCAAATCAGTGTAGATACAATCGATCTTCACCCCCATTTCCTTGAATGACTTCTCATTGCCTTGAGTAGTCTGCATCATAGTTTGTTCAAGTGATTTTACCTGATTACTTAGCTGGGAAAGGGTTGCTTCTAATGAGCTGGTCTGTTCTTGTTGAGGATTGAATGCTGGTTTTTGTTGAAAGTTTCCTCCTCCATAGTTTCCACCTTGAAACTTGTTTTGAAAACTCCTTTGTTGCTGTGGATAGGGCTGATTTTCGGCTCCTTGGTTTCTATATAAGAGGTACCAGAGTTCCTAAAGTTGTTGTTGAAAGCTGGACTAAATCGATTATGGTATGCCTCAGCTCCCATAAAATTGATTTCTTCCTCTTGGTACATGCCATCTTCTTCATATCTTCCATCTTCTTCATTTCCTGCAGCAATATCACAAGCATGTATATTCTTATTTTGAGACTTAAGAAGTTGACTTACCATGCTTTTTAGCTCACCAATCTCCCTTGATTCATGACTAGTGATAGTCTTCTTTGATCTGTCATACTCAGGATTGTTGTTGCAGTTAGCTAAAGCCAGATTTTCGATGAGTGCTCTCCATTGTGGTATGGTTTTTGAAGTGAAATCTCCATTGCTGGCAGTGTCAATAGAAAGTTGATACTTCTGCTGAAGTCCTCTGTAGAAGGTGTTTAGCAGGTTTGCTTCAGAGAAACCATGATGAGGGCAGTCTCTCTCATACTCCTTGAATCGCTCCCAGGCTTCATAAAATGATTCTATTGGGCCTTGTTGGAAACTTTGTATCTTGTTTCTCAGCTGGTTCGATCTTGACTTGGTGTAGAAGTGGTTCAGGAAAGCTGACTTGCATTCTTCCCATGAAGTAATAGAACCAGATGGCATAGATTTCAACTATCTAAAAGATTTATAACTTAGAGAGAAAGGAAAAAGCTTACACTTCACATAGTCCACAGTTTATGGAGTTGTTCTCACCATTCCAGAGATTTCTTCAAAAAGATCAATGTGGTCTATTGGATGCTCAGTAGAGATTCCATGGAATTGGTTCTGTTTCCCCAAAGAGACTATCTGAGGTTTTATCTCATGATATTCTCTTAGGACAGGGATTTGAATAACTGATCGATTTTGGAAGTGTTGGTGAGGTGCATCAAAATTGGCAATGAGTCTGTTCCGAGGCTGTCTTCTCGCAGGATTCACAAGTTGTATTGGTCGATTGGCTTCTCTAACAACTGGTGGAACAATGTTTTCATCATTCCTTCTTCCTTCAACATCGCCCTGGTCTTGTCTCCTTTGATTTTCAGCGGCTTGAGCAGGATTTAGAGGAACTCGGTTCCCTCTTCATCGTGTTGTGGCTGTCCATCTTCTTCATGAGCAGCATCTAGGTCGTCACCATGAAATCACGGTCATCATCTCCAATGTGATCCTCCTGATCACGGTTTAAAAGATTTTCCCGATGGGCATTAGGATTGGCCATCTTGAGCGTTCTTCGTCTGAGTTTCCTAAGTGCTCTATCGTGTTTGTCAATCTCGTCTAAGGGCAATACAATTTTGTCAGGATCTCTCCTAGTTTTCATGCACCTGTGAGCAAAGAAAGCAAAGATAAAAAGAGGAGTTAAAAAGTCTCCAGCAGAACTCGAAAATCTTGAGGTTTAGGATTGAAATTAGATTAAGAAGTCAAGTCAATAGCAACAGATCCCCGGCAACGGCGCCAAAAACTTGATGTGAGTGCAGTAGGCAACACAAGTTTTACCCTAGAGAAGCTGCAAGTGCACAGCAAACGCAGTAGTACTTAGGGATCGAATCCACAGAGATCTGTGTGTTGAGAACTTCTAACTGATGCTAAAAACAATCGTAAACCTAATCTAATAAAAAAGGGTTTTGGTTTGTCACTAAATCTAATTATGCAGAGAATTAAAAAGAGCTTTAAGTAAAAATCGGTTGAAAAACAATAAGTAAAAAGCGCTGGGTTCAAGGTTCATCTTTAGGGTTCATGTTCTAAGACACAAGAAATTTAGGTAAGGATTTTCTATGACTCTGAAACTAGGATAGACACATGTAAGATTAGCCAACTCTCGTCACCCTAATCATCTAATCACTTGTTCATGGCAATTAACTCTCGCTCTCATGCCAGAACAAGATCATGCTTTGTAGATCAGAATCCATCTCTGCTTACGTATCCTCCGTAGGTAGCTTTCGTCTCCTAAGACGGGGACGTCCAAAAGATCCGGTTCAGACAACCCAGATACAACACTCTCGTGGCTCGGATTAAACCTAGGATCGGATTCTGGGTGATCAATCCAGAATTACCGCTTTGAGAATTGGATGAATGGGAGAATGATAGATATGACTTTTTAGGTCTCAGGGCTATCAATCCCCTTTGTCGAAGTAGCACAAAGAGGTATCAATCTAGACAAGTCAACGAGACACTAGACTATGATGTTTGTTCATTTAAGTCAAGACAAAAGGTGAAGGTTTCGAACTAAGCTAAGTGACAAACGACTAAGCATGAAAGGTAAAGCAAATGATTAGATCTAAACAGAGACAGGATGCAAATAATAGCTAAACGATTCAGATGATGATAATATGTAATAAAGCAAGGGACTTTAGACGAGATACTTGATTCGGGTGCTTCCAAGTTCAACTAGTTGGTTAATGAATCAAAACATCAAGCGGTTTCATTTAACTTTGAACTCAAGGCATGTTAATCTTCTCATGAAAGTATTAAGCATCTAAACTGATTCTCCTTCATACCAAAAATGTCTTTTGAGAAGCATCGAATCAATCAGCAATAAGAGTCAGTTCAAAAATGTCATTTAAGAGAACAAACTATCACTCTCGCGATGAAAGACTCTTAAACCCATAACCGAGTGGTTCAGACATTTCTACAAACACTTTTGATGCAAGATATGTCTCAGATCTGAACCCCAAGTGATGTGCTTGGATCCAGCCTAGAGATCTCGTCGGTTAAGGAATGAAACATGCAAGACTAGACACCTAAACCCACTAATCTACCTTGAAAGCACCCTAATCTACTCATCTAAAGCCGCTTTAACGACTACTCACTAATCATAACGAGCTCATTAAGTCTTTTGCAAGACGTGTAGCTAGTCATGATGAGGAGTTTAATGATAGATGACAAAAGAAAATAAAGAAAGAACAAGATTTCTGATGCAAAAACAAGATATCAGATTAGAATAATCAAGTTTTACCAAAGAGGCAAGTTCTTAAAGCTAAAAACAGATAAGAGATAAGATGATTAGGTTTTTAGTCTCAAAATGTATATATAGCAAAGGTAAAGTGTCGCGGGTCAGCCCGGAACAAACCGGGTACTGAACCGCGTTCTTGGGCTGATGGGTGAGTGCCACGGTGTGTCGGAGAGTGAAGCCGAGGTCTTCATGTCGAGGAGCGCACGTGAGTCCAGATCCAAATGAAGATCTCGTGAAGAACACGTCAAGAACATGCATGAACCCTAGTCTTTGATCCATCTTCACGTGTGTGTTTTTGAGCAGCTTTGTTCTTGATTCTGGGCTTGTGACAATGGACCTCGGGATAAAATGCTGAGGTGCTTGGACGTCGAGGGGTTCGGGAGAACAGGGTCCGGCATGCACGCCGAGGTCGCTACACCGAGGTGCATGTTCAACACTTAGTCGTTTCCAGCTCTTTTCTTACGTGTGCATGCCTTGATCCCAACGTGCCGAGGTATCTGTACGAGGCCTAGCTCAGGATACTTCCAAAATATGAGCCTTGACTTGGCCGATGTCGAGGTAATGATGCCGAGCCCTGAAGAAACACTTAGCGCGTATCGCAACATATTTGGGCCCGTATCGACCATGTCGCCTTCCGGCGGCAGTAACTTTCGACCCACGACTCCGAATGCTCTGAGACCAGTTTCATAGTCAAGGTGACTCAATAAACTCGAACTTTGGTGAAGAAACCGTCGGAGCTTGGGTAGTGGAAGTCTTCCTGGACTTCACATCTTTGAACCGCATCGAAATCACCGGAAAATAAGCTGTTCGGACCGATGTGAACTCCGGAGATTTTATCTTTCAAACCACTCGTCCGAGTTGAGCGATCCCTACTGTTCTGAAAAGGTCTTTCACAGATCTCAAACTTTGATGAAGACCGGGTAAGATGATTTGGTCCGGAAAGGCTCCGTCCGCCGTGACCTTTGTACTTCGCCGTTCAGTTCTCGGATGCGCGTAATGTTGATGTATCTTCCGGAAGCTGTATCTTTCTCCCTACTGGTCCGAATTGGATGATTCTAACTGTTCTGGGATCTTTGTTTTATTATCTCCAACTTCGCTGAAGACCCCGCCAACTGATTCGGACCGGAAGGTTCCCCGGATTTCTGATCTTTGAATTGCGCAGACAAGGACAGATTTTGGTCGAGAAAAGTTTCCCGCGGTAAGAAAAATGACCGAGGGCTGTGTACCGCGGTGAGCTTTTTGGTCGTAAAAATTCTTTCACCTCGGCCAAAACTCGACCCGCGGTATTAACGCCTGATCTTCGACCCAGGCTGACTTTGGTCGATCGGTACGGACTTTGGTCGGTGCTGAACGATCGGTAAGCTTTTTGGTCGGTAATGAGCGATCGGTAAGGATTTTGACCGAGGTTTCTGTCCGTCCGGTACGCGATTTGGCCGAGAAATTCCTCCAAGCGGTTTTCACCATTTTTGACCGTTTTCTTCACCGTCTTCTTCTCTGCTCCTCTTCTTAAGCTCCAAATGACTCCCAAAGCACCTGATAAAGACCTCAAAACATGCAAAACTCTTTGGGACCTAATGCAAGCCCTAAATCCTATTTTCATGCCTAATGACTCAATTTACATGGGAAAGCACATGATGAGGACTCTAAAATGCACTCTAAATGATGTAAAATATAGACATATCAACTCCCCCACACTTGTCCTTTGCTTGTCCTCAAGCGAAGAGAACAAATGGGAAGAAGAGGTTGTAATGCAGATGGAGCTCATATTTCCTTTTTAGAAAGAAGTGATCACAAGGAGAACTCGGATTCATGCTCAAATATGCAACGTAAAGCCATACTCAGATATTCTACAATTAAAGCACAGAATCTCCACAAGTCATTATCACATTCAACTCTTTCACATTCATTAAGCTCGTAACCGGTGAATCAAATGATGCAATGTTCAAATAGGCTGGCTTGGCTAGGGTAAGGTCATGAGATAAAAATGATCTCATCAATATTCAAGCGGGTGTAATGCAACAATGGGATCACTCAATGAACGACCAAACTTTGGCAGAATGCTAAAGGTAAAAAGCAACCGATGCATACAAGGGCAAGACTCATCACACCCCACACTCCACTCAAAGCTTTTCTTACTTGCTCACCCTCTCAAGATCCTCACTCTCTCAATCGCTTTCTTTTTCACTAGGGGACTCACTTTTGTTTTGATTTTCAAGCCTTTGGTGTTTACTTATTCAAACAGCTCTTTTCTTTTCTTTTTAGAACACTTGAGCCTTTTTGTCTTCTTTTCATTTCAAAGACTATACTTTTCTTTTTAGAACAACAGAGCTCTTCTTTTCAAATTCAAGACTCGATTCTTTTTCTTTCATTCCCCTAGCTATCTCCATTCTCTCTTTTCTCTCAGCTCACCTTTTTCCACTCACCAATAGATCTTTTCCCCCACACTTATTTCTTGCCAATACTCTCAGTTCCTTGATGTTGGAACGTAGCACTCAATGAGACATGCCCTTGTCGCTCTAAACCTAACACTTTCTGCTAAGTTCAGTCCAAGGTGGCCTTACAATTCACACACAAACATTGGCTCGAAAAGAAAGTTGGGTTCAAGGTGAGGGAACTGATCCATGATGCGGATTCAGCTACTTGAGCAAAGGAAAAGAGGGTGGTAAAAACAATGATTCTAGCTCAAGTATGTATATCGGTATCCACAAGCCAATTCAAGCAATGCATCAAAAGATATTTACAATTCAAGTTCAGGGTTATCACTTAACTAGAGTTGAGTGTAATTTAGACCTGCTTCACAGATTCAAATCGTTTCAAGCTTTACAAGCACAGAATGAGTTTCACAAGCATATTTAGTTCAAGTTCTCAAGTGATTTACTTTCTAGGAAAAAATCTATCATTGCTCCTTGCATTGATGCAGTCCTAAATGATGCAACTAGACTCGATCTTAGAATGCGAGATGCAACTAGAATGATGCGGTTTTACCATATGTACAAAGCTAGATGAGACTCAAGAATGCAAAAGTCAAATAAGAACAAAGAAAACAAGATCAGAAAACACAAAGCTCCTCCCCCACACTTAAACAACACAGTCCCGTGTGTTATAGAAGCGTGTGAGAGAAGTAAAAAGACGAACTAAACGAATGCAGAATGATATACACAAGATGCATATGTACAGGGTTTGAAGTCGATACCTTAGTCGGAGAGGTCTGATCCCAAGTAGTACGAGGGATTTGATGTTGAGCAGGAGGGTGTGGACTGACGTGGCGGGCTGCTATCCGAGGGTTCAGGTAAGAATGCCAAGGCAGGGTTGATCCAATCCTCTTTGCCTGGTGGAAACTCCGGGTTCCTTGCGTTTGAGCTTTCCCCAACCTCCTCCTGTGTAACTGGTGCGGTTGAGGTCCCCGAGTTCATGTCCGGAGAAGATGGCCGTGTCAGCTGCTTGACCTTCTTCTTCAGGTGCCTTACACAGTCCACCAACGCATGAATGGTCTTGTCTTGCCACTTACACCACTTTTGGAGAGTGTTCACTCGCAAATACAGCTTCTTGGTGTGGTATTCAGGCTCACCCCACACGTATGGATCAAAATGATATCGGCCTGCTCCCATCCTTCTCTCAGGGTGCCGTTCTTCTTCATTCTCACATCCGGCCGGGCCGTTCTCGTTTTGAGGCTTGTTAGGTATGGCCTTGGTGCACTTGCGCATTGGTGGGCCGAGAGAGGGGTTGTACAACTGATCCTTGAGGACATAGAAGGAGATGTTACACTGCTTATCAAGCATGGTGAGGCCTCGGTTAGGCAGCAGAACTTGTGTACCGTCCCTGTGCATCAGCGTGAAGTTGTAAACCCATCTATCCCCTGACTTGCCTCCAAAGAAACCGCTTTTACTTAGGTATTGCTCATCAATGAGATTCGGCCTTGATGGTGAATCAGGGAATATGAACCCTTGAGCTCTCAAAATTGTAGTGACAATCCAACCGTTCTGAAGCCTCCTTGCTCCCTTCTTCTTTCGGTCACACCACACATTGTGTCTATAGGTGAGCATTTGGATCGCAAAGAACGCTCCTAAAGACGGTACATGCAGTGGCCCTTGGTACTCCTTTTTGTTCTTCATTTGAGTGATGAGCGGCTTAAGTCCAAGTCCTAACAATTCAAGCTCTGCCGTGTGAATGACACCAGGGTTGTATGTAGAGAAGAACGTAGAGGCCAGGACCCGGTTGGTGTATCTGATTGCAGGGTTCCTGATGCAGCTCGTCTTGCTTTTGCCTCCCAAGTAAGGCCCAAAAGATATCGTTTCCCACAACGCGGCCAACTCATCACGAGGGTACACAAACTTGTCAAGCGAGCTTCCATTCCTTTCAAATCCAAATATCTCATCAAGCTCCTTGAAACTGACCTTGTAGTGCACGCCTTCTATGTCAAACTCAATGTGTCCGAATCCTTTGCCATGTAGACGCTTGGGATCTCTCTTGGGGTAGATGACAACCTCCAAAGTGGCAAGAAACTGTTGTGTGATCCCCTCGTAAGCAACATCGCTCATCATGAAGAATTCGGCCAAGCCCATGTTTTGAAAGATGAGTGTAACATCATCGAGTATCTCAAGCTTCTTCAACAGCTCCATATCAGGGAACCGACCTTGAGCTACTCGTATAGAGTTAAAGTGGTCCAAGTACTCCTCAGTAGTCGGGAAGTGTTCTTCCTCGGGCTCGGTCTTTGGTTCCTTCTTGGCTTTCTTGGCATGGTCGGGTACATGGGGAACTATGGCTCTCAGCTCATCTCCATCGATCTCAGTGGCTGCCTGCTCCCCATTCCTTTTTGGTTCAAGGGTTGGAACCAGAGTGAGCTCGGCGTTCCTTGCTCGCTTGGCGGCTGGCTCACCATCGGATCTCACGGAGGGTTTCTTGCTTGTTCCACCATTGCGTGCTACGGCCACGGCTTTCCCTTTCGTGCTCCTCCTCTGGACCTCATTTTTGTTCGTCTCATGAGTGGGAACAGCTCGGTCGCCGGTCATCTGCAAGACAGATCCTCAAAGAAACCGTTAGAATCAAGTACAACGACAAGCACAGGTTTCTGAAGATAGCAAAGACAGAGCTTTTCTCTAACAAGATCATAGTTATAGCTTTGTCATACATCAAAGAGAGAAGTAAGAACAAGCCAGAACAACCGATTAGAGACAAGTTATCAAGACATTTCAGCTCAAGTACACAAATCATCATTAAGACCGATTCCAAGCGCATTTTCTCAAGAATTTTGAAAACTCAAGAACAAATGATTTTCAGAACAAAAACCGGTTTTTCTTGTGTTGTCTATCCTGATGGAATTTTTAAAATTGTTCCCAGAGGTCGATATGTTCTAAAAGAATCGATTCCACATTTTACAAACTTGAAAGCTCGCAAAGAATGAAGGAAAAAAGATGAGTTCTTTAAGAAGCAAATACCTTTGGGAATCCAAGATTCAAGTTTAGTGGAATGCTTATGATGAATAGACAACACCCTAGCGAGTCTAGAACGCTTGGAATCACAAGAAATGGATGAGAAATGAGAGAGATATGTTCGTGAAATGCAGAGAAAAGAGAGAAGAAGGCGAACTCTCGGTTTTGTCCCGGGATGGAGGCTGGTATGGGCGGTGTCGCGCTTTCCAGCTGGCGCTTGGACTGTAGTGGGACTGGTCCCCCCTTCTCCTCCAGCTGCGACCGTTGACCCGCGCCGAAACAGCTTTGACCGGGCGTTTAAATTCAAATTACCGCGCAAAGGCTTTCAAATGGCGCGACTTTGGAATGACGTGAGCCGTACGGACTAGAGTGGTTTTTCTCGTGTTCTCTTGAGCGGCCTCGACTTGTTCTACCTCGAGGGCACTAAGCCGAGTGGGCTAAGTTCAAGTTAACAAGAATTTCCCCGCGGCCTTCAAATCTTTTCCTTAGTCCGTGCAAACCTTCTTCTTTGACTCAAGTGTCCCAAGTGTTTATGTTTTTGATCGTTCTTGAAACTGGGCACCTCGGTGTGCTCCACCACGAGGGTATCATGCCGAGGTCACTTGTATTAACAGAGAACACTTGGTGCTGGGGGTTTAAACGGTCCGGCCTTGGTGTAAACTGGTCGCGGCCTCGATCGAGGTTTTAGACCGTTTGAAGTGAACTTTGCCCCTCGGTATAGTTATACCGAGGTGTTTACACCGTGGCCTTCCCCCACACTTAGTCATTTCACTGTGACACTTCTCGGACACGGCTATGATGAAATCGAGTCGAGGAGTCTAGCCGAGGTTCTCAGGCTTTACTCGGTAAACGGTGACCGCGGTATGTATATACCAAGGGTCGATACCGAGGCTACGTACACTCTAGGACTTAATTCATCAGGCCGTGTCATTTTCAAGCTTTTTCTCACTCTCATCATCAAGATTCACCATCTAACTCCTGAAACACTTAACAAACCCTTCAAAAAGCTTCAAGTAAAAAGAAAAAGAAGATGAAAAGCGAAATATGTACAAGGATAGGCTTGGGGTGTCTCCCAAGAGCACTTTGTTTAACGTCACTAAGTTTGACTTTTCATATCTTTTCAGGCTGATTCTGGTTCAAGAAGAGGAACTGAGGTAGCTCCCTCTCTTGTTTCTGATGCCAGGTAGTGTTTTACCCTCTGACCGTTTACTACAAAGCCTTGTCCATCTTTTCCTTTCAAAACAACCGCTCCATAAGGCCTTACTTCAAGAATTTCGAATGGACCGGACCATCTGGATCTCAACTTCCCAGGGAATAGCTTGAGTTTCGAGTTAAACAGCAGAACTTGGTCTCCTTTTTTGAACTCTCTCTTGTGTATCTTCTTGTCATGAAGCGCCTTGGTCCTTTCCTTGTAGATCTTAGAGCTCTCAAAAGCATCTAACCTGATTTCCTCAAGCTCATGAAGCTGTAAAACCCTCTTCTCTTGTGCAGTCTTGATGTCAAAGTTCAGAAGTTTCACTGCCCACAATGCTTTGTATTCCAACTCAACCGGTAGATGACAGCTTTTCCCATAGAGCAAGTTAAACGGTGAGGTTCCAATGGGGGTCTTGTACGCGGTTCTGTAAGCCCACAAAGCATCATCAAGTTTCTTGCTCCAATCCTTCCTAGATGAGCTCACGGTTCTTTCTAAAATAGCCTTTATCTGTCGGTTAGAGACCTCCACTTGACCACTAGTCTGCGGATGATAAGGTGTGGCCACCTTGTGCTTTACTCCATGCTTCCTTAAAAGACTCTCAAGAGTCTTATTGATAAAGTGGCTTCCCCCATCACTGATTACTACTCTTGGAACTCCAAACCGTGGGAAAATGATACTTTTGAAAAGCTTTACCACCACTTTTGAATCGTTGGTTGGGGATGCAACAGCCTCGACCCACTTACTCACATAGTCCACCGCGACAAGGATGTACTGATTTCCGTATGAACTCACAAAGGGACCCATGAAGTCAATGCCCCAACAGTCGAAGACCTCGACCTCAAGGATTGGGTTTTGGGGCATCTCATTCCTCTTGGATATGTTACCGTGCCTTTGACAAGCCTCGCATCTCGATACCACATCTTGAGCGTCCTTGAACATAGTCGGCCACCAGAAGCCGCTTTGCAAAATCTTGGCAACCGTCTTGAATGCACCTAGGTGACCACCGTACGCTGAACCATGGCATTCTTGTAGCACCGGATGGATCTCTTCTTCGGCCAAGCATCGCCTATAGAGATGGTCCTTGTTAAGCACGTAAAGATACGGCTCATCCCAATGATATCTCATCACATCTCTAAAGAACTTTTTCCTCTGATAGGCATCAAGATCCGGTGGCTCTAAACCGCAAGATAGGTAGTTCACAAGATCCGCGAACCATGGGAGGCTTCTTTCCTTGATCGTGTTGGCCTCTTCCACCTCTAAGTAAGACCGTACCAGCATGAGATGTTCCTCAGGTAAAGCATCGTCTATGGGGACCTTTTCTTCAATCCTCAGCCTTGAGAGATGATCTGCGGCCCCGTTTTCAATGCCCTTCTTGTCAAGTATTTCCATGTCGAATTCTTGGAGCAATAGGACCCATCTCAAAAGCCTCGGCTTAGCGTCTTTCTTAGACATCAAGTACCTCAAGGCCGCGTGATCAGTGTAGACCGTGACCTTTGATCCCACTAGATAACTCCTGAATTTGTCAAATGCAAACACAATGGCAAGCATTTCCTTCTCGGTGGTTGCATACTTTTCTTGAGCTGAGTCCAAGGTGCGGCTGGCATAATAAATCACATGGAGTTTCTTATCTTTCTTCTGCCCCAAGACAGCTCCCACGGCATAGTCAGATGCATCAGTCATCACTTCGAAAGGTAAAGACCAATCGGGAGCTTGTACAATTGGTGCACTGATCAAAGCCTCCTTGATCCTCTTAAACGCTTCCTCACACTCTTCATTAAAGATAAACTCCACCTCTTTGCACAATAGCCTAGTTAAAGGCCTAGCTATCTTGGAGAAATCCTTAATGAACCGCCTATAGAACCCAGCGTGCCCAAGAAAGCTTCTTATCCCTTTTACAGAATTCGGAGCTTGTAGGTTCACCATTACCTCGATTTTGGCCTTGTCCACCTCAATTCCCTTCTCTGATACCTTGTGCCCCAAGACAATGCCTTCTTGTACCATGAAATGACACTTCTCCCAGTTCAATACAAGCCTATGCTCCTCACATCTCTTTAGAACCTGAGAAAGATTAGCAAGACATTCGGAGAAAGAGGAACCGTATACGGAGAAATCATCCATAAACACCTCAACTTTCTCTTCAATTAGATCAGAGAAAATGTGCATCATGCATCTTTGAAAAGTGGCCGGTGCATTACACAAACCGAAAGGCATTCTCCTATAAGCATAAGTGCCATAAGGGCAAGTGAATGTCGTTTTCTCTTGGTCTCTTGGATCTATTGGTATTTGGAAGAATCCAGAGTATCCATCGAGAAAACAGAAATAAGGATGATTGGCTAATCGTTCAAGCATTTGATCAATGAATGGTAAAGGGAAATGATCTTTTCTTGATGCAGAATTCAATTTCCTATAGTCAATGCACATGCGATGGCCGGTTATAGTTCTTTGGGCTATGAGTTCATCCTTATCATTTTTTACCACCGTGATACCACCTTTCTTGGGCACAACGTGCACAGGAGATACCCACCGAGAGTCAGAGATTGGATATATGATCCCTGCCTCAAGGAGCTTTAGTATCTCCTTCTTAACCACCTCTTTGAGGTTCGGGTTAAGGCGACGTTGGTGCTCAATAGAGGACATGGCTTGGTCCTCCAGGTGGATCCGGTGAGTGCATATATCAGGAGAGATTCCTCTTATGTCGGCCAAGGAATACCCTATTGCTCTCCTGAATTTCTTGATTTCATTAAGCAATGCACGTTCTTCATGTTCAAGCAAACTATCGTTTATGATCACAGGGAAAGTGGAGTTCAAGCCTAAGAACGCATACCTGAGCCCTGTTGGTAGAGGCTTGAGCTCAACAGGTGGAGCGTCTGCCTCATTCCAATCGGTATCAAAGCTACATTGGCCCGGAACAGCTTCCTCGGCCTTTTCCTTGTTCTCGCGCGGATTACCATCGTCCTCGATATGAGTTGCCACGGCCATGATATCCCGAGGTGTCTCCTCTGTTTCCATGGACCCCTCGCTGTCTAAAATGTCGAGGCCACTCTTTCTGAGCTCCAAGAACCTAGCCTCAGCTCCAAGTTCCTTCGGTTGGTCCAAAAGTTGCTTGTACACCTCGCTTTCCTCGTTCAAGTACCCGTGCTCGCTTTGTTCACGTGTAAGGACCACTTGTAACGGATCCTCTGCGTTCAACTCTTCCAGGAGCTCATCAGCTAGCTCCTCCATCACTTCCACATAGAAAACCTGACCTCCAATAGTCGGTTTCTTCATCATCTCTTTCACATTGAACTTCATATGCTCGGAACCGATGTGTAGTTCAATCATTCCTCCTCTCACATCTATAATGGCTCCTGCGGTCGCTAGGAACGGTCGGCCCAAGATGATAGGGTCCAATGGTTCCTCGTCCATCTCAAGAACTATGAAGTCCGTGGGGATTTCTATCTCACCGATCCTTAAAGGTAAATCCTCAAGCAAACCCACCGGTAAGCAAACCGATCTATCAGCTAGTATAAGAGAAATCTTGGCCGGCTTGTAACTTTTGTATCCCAATCTCTTCGCCACCGTGTATGGCATTAAGCTCACAGAAGCTCCTAGATCACACAAGCAGTTTGAGAACTTCAAGTGACCTAAAGCACACGGTAAGGTAAAGCTGCCCGGATCGGATAGCTTCCTTGGTATAGACCTCCTTTGTATTATGGCGCTGCATTCATGGCTCAGTATTACCATACCCTGGAGCTCCTTTGTCTTGTTGAGGATCGCATCTTTTAGAAACTTCCCAAGCTGTGGTATAGCTAAGAAAGCATCTATAATGGGTAAGGTGAGTTGCGTGTTCTCCAAGTGTTTCTCAAAGACCGCTTTGGCTTTGTCTAAGATTTTCTTTTTGAAACGCCCTGGGAACGGTATCTTGGGTTGGTAAGGTGGTGGTGGAACGTATGGCTTTTCAAGCTCAGTTGTCTTTTCCACCTCTTTTCCTTTGTCCTTGATCGGTTCTTTCTCAAAATCCGCTTCTTTACACGCATCACCTGAGGCTGCCTCCCCCTCTGATTGCTCATTGGCCTCAATGAGCGTAGTCTTAGGCGTTGGAGCTTGTAGTTCTTTACCACTTCTCAATGTAATGGCGTTCACATACTCCTTGGGGTTTGGCTCCGGTTTACCTGGTAAAGCCGGGCCTCGGGATGATGTAGAGGCTTGATTCTGCTTAAGCTCTCTGATATCTTGCTGCATTGTCGCGTGCTGGCTCTCAACTCTCTGTTGACCCTGTAACAGTTGCTGTAATATCCCACAGACGTCGTTTCCCATCTGATTCAGACCCGTTCCCTGATGCTGTCGCTGATTACCCATCGGCTGCGGATTGAACCCTGGTGGAATCTTGTGATGCTGCGGTTGGCTGGTGAAGTTGTTACCCTGAGCTGCTTGATTCTGTTGAGTGTAGCCGTGCTGTTGCCCACCAAACTGTTGCTTGGGCTGGAAGGTATTCTGATAAGGAGCCTTTTGAGCGTAGCTTTGTTGTTGTTGCGGAGCAGGGTAGACTTGATCGTGAGGGTTAGCTACATTTGGGTTTCTGTATGAGAGGTTTGGGTTACTGTTGTAGTTGTTGAACCGCTGATACCTCTGCTGGTTCCCTATGTAGTTCAGCTCCTCTTGAGTTAGACCATCTTCGTTTACATTATCAAAACTTGGCCCTTGCTCATCAAACTCGCCTACAAAGTGTATTGGCTTGTCAAACTTAGAGACTTTAAACAAAGTGCTCTTGGGAGACACCCCAAGCTTATCCTTTGTAAATATGCTTTTAATCTTTTCCTTTCTTTCTTTTTTATGTTTTAGGATGTTTTGATAGGTTTGTTTAGTGTCTACAGGTCACAGGTTTGAGTTTGAACTCATGGAAAGTGATTGCAAGATGAAAAGGAATGAAGAAGTGGGCAAAGGTTTATGTTCGGCCTTGAGTTTGGTAGCCGGCCACGGTCAAATGTCAGGCGTGGCAAGCTTTTTAGCTAAGCCACGAGAGAGGAATCACGGTCTTGAAGTGTGGCCATGGCAAAGGTTGCATGCTTTCGGGGTTTGCCACGGTCAGGAGACGCGGGCTTGAGGCCGGCCGTGGCAAAGGAGTAATGGACGAACCAAACTTCGGCGTTTGACGCGGTCAGCTTGCACGTGGAGTGATTAGACCGTGGCACATGTTGGACAAAGAAGCTTCATTCGGGAAATGCCGCGAGGACGATGACACGGGATGCTCTAGGTCGCGACAGAAACACGCAGGTCTTCGGCGTTTGACGCTGTCACGTGCCACGGTCAACCAGGCGAGGCAAAAGTTTTTGAAAATCTTGACCGTACGGACGTTGACCGGTCAAAGCCGCGCCCTTTACAGCTGTTCCCCACCACAGTCTTCTTCCTCACACGAGTTTGCTATCTTCTCCTCATTTCTTGAACTTGAAACATTCATATCTCTCTCGTTCTTGAACAAAATTGAGGAATTCCAACTGCATTGAACTCGTAACCTTGCCTAGTTTCTTGCTGCATATTCGTGTTTCACTCGAACTTTGAAGATTCCAAGGTATTTTTGTCTGTTAAAATTCACCTTTTCCATGTCCTAATGTACTGTTCATGAACAAGAAATACATGAAATCGATTTTAATAGGCCGCTTGATACCTTGGAATCATTTTGTGAATGTTGTGCAAGTAGAATGGATAGGAAACGCATGAAACTTGCTTGAGAATGACCTGTTCTTGGAATTTTTGAGATAATTCTTTAAATTCATCAATTATTCTGATTTTTTTCTAGAAATTGTGTTTCAAGCTGAACTCTTTGTGTGCATTGCTTCATGCCATTGCTTTGGGTCTATTGAGTTTTGACCGGCTAAAGACACATTCCTTTCTAGTGAAATCGATCTGTACCACCCCTGAACTTGGTAAATTTTTGGAAAACTTTTGTTGTTCTCTTGCCTTGGTGCTCACAGCTGTTTGAGCAAATGCAGGATGGGAGGGACAAAAATAACCGCGGCCATAGAGAAATCGAAACAAGAAAGAGCTGGAGCTTCAGAGGATCAGATTCTACCCTTTGGGCGTAAGGTTTTTGGAAAATAGAAGAGAACAGGAAAGCCAAAGAATCCGGCTGAGAAGAAAGTAAAGAAATTGGCTGCACCAAAGAATACCAAGGCTTCTACTTCATGGAATACTGGTAAAGAACTGACGCTGGTTGAAGCTGTTCAAAGGAAAGGAAAAGAGATGGATGTGGCTGAAGATTAAGATGAAACAGAGAGTGATCCTGAAGTAGCATTGCAGCCGATTAAGAAAGCAAAGACAAAACCAGAACCTGAAGACCAAGAACCAACTTTTGATGATTACTATGCTATGTTCAAGAATGTAAAGGTGTTGCAAACCAAGTTCCCTGATATGGATCTGCTGAAAAAGATGGGGCTACTTGAAGAAGTTCAGCTGATTTTTAACAACATGGGATTTGGTGGATTCTTTGAGATGAAAGATATGGCTCATGATGGAGTAACACAAGAGTTTCTGGCATCCCTTGAAAATTGTGGGTATGGCCCCAGAGATCAGAGGATCAAAGAGGGCAATGGTCTTGGGCACATAGAGTTCACAGTCAATGGTACACCATACCAAGTAAGCTTCAAGGAACTAGATGAGATCTTTGACTTTCCAAGACCTGCAAAGGATGAGACGTTGAAGTTCACTTACCCTGATCACATGATTACTGGCCTGTTGGATACAATAGCTTTTGGGAGCTTCAGAGGAGGAAGATGCAAGAGTTCATGGATAAGAAACCCAGCAATCCGCTATGCTCACAAA